ACGCAGTATAAACCAATTATCTGTGTTCAGTGCACTCAGTAATCCAATGAAAGGAGACCTTATCTTTCGAGGGGCCTATCGAGACTGGATCACTTGACCGAACAAGAAGAAGGGCCCAGTGTCCCGTCCAAGAGATTCGTCGAATGCGAACTCCTGACGACTACCGAAAACAATGAAGTGACCGAAACTGTGGCAAACCAATTACTGTGTTCAGTGCACTCAGTAATCCAATGAAAGGAGACCTTATCTTTCGAGGGGCCTATCGAGACTGGATCACTTGACCGAACAAGAAGAAGGGCCCAGTGTCCCGTCCAAGAGATTCGTCGAATGCGAACTCCTGACGACTACCGAAAACAATGAAGTGACCGAAACTGTGGCAAGTTTATTCACCGTACATAGATGTATAATCTGTGTTTCAAAGTTGGATTAAAGACGTTCATTGTTGGTGATGACTGATCAGCCCAAAGTAAATGTGGAATGCAGCTTACTGTGTGTCTTTGTTAGTTTGTTAGTCGATAGGTCGGTGAAGAATATTAGTCCTATTTTCATTAAGGAAACCACTCCAAGGTTGCTGAAAACTCTTCGACAGCCCACGACCGATTTCACCCTTCTTGGTGCTCATCAGGTAGGCACAGTCCCCGAGTTTCCATCAATCTCATGTTCCACTTGAGCCCAAAGAGATTTGCAAATGAGTGTATTTCTCGAAAAAGTCCAATTTGGGTTCAAGTAGAACATAAGGTTGACGGAAACACGGGGACTGCGCCTACCTGATGGGTCCCAAGAAGGGCGAAAACAGCTGTGGGCTGCCGAAGAGGTTTCAACAACCTTGTGAGTAGTTTTCTTTATGAAAATAACTGCGATATCGCGAATGTCGTGTCAACTGAAATATGAGGCGGCCTATGTGCAGCACTTTCAGTTGAAGAACGGCATAAACGAGAGATTTAGTTGAATTACTCGTGAAAACCAAATTGATTTGCAAATGAGTGTATTTGTCGAGAACTTTAGTCCTAATTTGAGCCGTAGGTACTACTTAAAATTCGGATAAACTCGTTCAAGTATAAAGCAGCCCAAGTTTTGATTTTTTTTCACCGGTTCTAGTTTCGGTCATTTCTCTTTGGCTAGAGAGTCTTCCGTAATTTAGTCCTGGTTTCCCTCACTCTCCACAAAAGCAATAAAACCAGAACCTAGCATTTTGTCTGTTTGACATGAAACGGGCTTGCAATCTTTCAAGAGATCTACGAAACTGTTTTTTCGAACTCCACGGGTTCAGTCCGACGGTATCCAGCCTCTGGCACCGAACCAGGGTGTATGAAGCGGTACTAGTAAACTGTAAATCGGCAACTCTAAGGCTTGTGACGTTTTGCGAAGGGTTTCTCACCACTTCATAAAATGTATTTCCTCCCATTTGGTTTATCTCACTCTGCACTATACCATCACAATAGAATGAAGCACGGTGAGTTCGTTTCTTTCCCATTGTGGGTAAAGTGGACATCTTCCACGAATGACAGATAGACATCGTGGAAGAATGGTCAGCACCATTCTGCAGAGCAACCAACTCGATGCCAACGAATATGAGGCATAGTGCTGTCTGTTTGGTAGAATCGTGTTTCGTCACAGATAACACTGGAAAATGTTTTCCCTTCTGCACCAGGAAATCCGAAAGCCAAACCCTGCTGGAAGCTATTGCAACTGTAACGCTTGTGCACCGGCAGTTTGTAAATACTTGCTTTATGCTAGATTGAATCGCGGCGACGAGGCTTAAGTTTACTTACTCCGAAGTTTCGGAGAGTTTGTCAGGTCGAACAGTTCCAAAATACTACGGCAAGGAAAGCATTTCACGTCTCGCAACCTTCTGCATTTCGTTTTAAAAAAATTCAAAGTAATAAGTTGGAAGAAAGGACGCAGCGGATAAAATCTGTCGGCATCTCCCCAATCTTGGGCGGTAGAATAGAGTAGTTTCTCCAGGAAAAATAGGATAACCAGACCAAAAAACGGGATCCTTCATCGTAAAATATGTTAAATGATCTTGCCATGATGAATGTTGGGAACACGGAACAATCTTTGCGACAATTCGTTCCTTGTCGCTTTGTATAATTAGTGTTCCTCGCAATTAGTCACCCCGCATTCACGTGGTTCCTCATCTGTTGACCAAAAGACTAGTTGATCAAAAGGTACAAAATGATTTTTACTGCTTCATGAGCCGGCATTCTCGCTAAACAACAAAGACTGTGCCACCGGGCCAAGTGTGTTCGGGCAGGGGGTACTTGTGCACGCCTGTTATATATGCCTGTTGCGGTGCTTGCACTAGCGAGCTCGGTGCTCCGAACAAGTTTGAAATTTAACGCTTTCTTTTCATAGCGCGGTTCATCCACCAAATTTCAGACGCTTTTTTAGGGACACCTTTTTTACAAAATTTTCGGGAAAGCGGGACAGATGGATTAGTGCACTGTAAACACGTTCATTGACGCACTGGACAACGATGTTTGGAGGATGACGGGGCTAAATTCTGGCATCCTGTTCAATGAACAAACTCACAAACATTGAGGTAATCTTGATTACGACTAGCTTCCTTTAAAACCATTTGATTCCTTGCTTGAAATGAGGCAGTGCATACAAGATAGGTGAGAAAACCTTGGCCAAAGACCAAATAGACTGTTTTTCCTTAATGACTGCCCTGTTCTTAGTCAAATAATATAATATACAATATATATGTAAAATGTACGATATATAATAATATAAGTTAATTATGATTAAGTATGATCAAAACCTCAGAGCAAATCAAAAATTGTGCACTGCTTTTGGTATTTATACCGATAAAAGAAACGCCAGTTTTGGTCCTAGAAAATGGTAGCTATAATATCAACCAAAATTCGGAACCATTTATCAGTCTTTCCGGATAATGAGATCCCCAGTTTGGTTGAGCCCAGGTACTGGATATCTATCGAAAAATTCGTGAACTCATAAGATATCGTCCAGTAAATCTTGACTGTATACATCGTCCGAATGAATGGCTCTCAAATGCTCGAGGAAAATCTATTTTTAAACTATCAACTGTAGGCCTTCACTAATTCCCTCACAATTATCGATTTTTTTTACCTCGGTTGACACAGAGTGGTTGTTTAGTGACAGAAATGTTGGTTAAATGTCTTATATCTATAGTGTGAGGAAAAAATGAGTGAATTTCTAATGGACACATCATCCTGTAGGTGCTGAAAAGTCAAGAAGCAATGTATGGCCGCTTCATCTTCACCGAAACTCGTCTACATTATCCGTCTGACGAAGCTGCAGGAAGTCTCCGATGCACGACATTCCGCTAGCCGTTCTGTCACGAGCAACTGATCATCAGTGTAATTAACTACTTGACTCAGGGAAACCACATCACGTGGTTTTGTTATGAAAAGGCTTTGCCAGCTGTTAGCAATTGATTGTTTCATATTGTTTGTCCATTTGACTGGTTTGACTCTGTGGCCAATCCTGTTGTCATCATATCCGTTCAAAGCGGCAATGGGAAAACGTGAAAGGGTCCCGGTGGAGTTACTTTCCGGTGCTCCATGGGGAAAAAGTTGATTGAGAACCGATGGCATAACGGGGATAGAAAAAATGAACAAAAGTGTGGTTCCACGGATCAGTTATAAACAGCGGATTTCGAATCCAACTCATGAATGACCGGGTGAAAGTTCACGTAAATTCGGCAAGGTGAAACACTCGTTATGGGTCGTTTACCAGAGGAAACGACACGATCTGAGCGACTTTCGCCCACCTATGACTCGTGAGGACCATTCTCAATTGTGTCCATCTCAGGGTTCATTTTGCTTCCTGCTTTTAGGTAGCATATAGTGGCGTTCCGTCTCCATAAAACGTTCAGTCGACGTTTAACTCATCACGGGCATTTTGGACATTTATTTCCGCATTCTGGTTCACATTTGCTTCCTGTGAGCTATTGCATGGTAAGGGTCACTTGTTTGGAGGGGGTTGAAACTATTGCGGTTGCTTTCCGAAAGGTAGTTAGCATCGTAAGACCGGAATAAAGGTGTAGCGCTCAAAAGACACGGGCAAATGCAGGATTGCCGACGTGAAGCCCTTCAAATCGTCTTAAATCAGCATTATACCAGCTGGATGTGTCCCCAAAAGAGTTACAGCTAAAGAAAATGCGAAAACCAGCAAACTGGGTGTCTCACCTAACCGCTTGCATCGCTTTTTTAATTCCGTGGTAGACTCTTGCGACTCAATGGTGCTGCTAACGTCGAGCTGGAACGCACATTGTGCGCAGTTAGTTCTAAGTCAATCATAAGCCATGTAGAACTCCGGCCACGATTGCGAAGTCCATAGCTAGAGCAGTCAGTGGTCAGCCGCTCTGAGCACACCAGCTCGACCAAACGGAGTCGATGGGTATCGCATGACCGTAAAAAGCGGAGACCGATAAACTTGCAAATTGTTTTCATGCCCATGGAGACAGACAAGCACAACAACCTGACTGATTGATTGATTGATTGATTGGTTGATTGATTGATTGATTGATTGATTGATTGATTGATTGATTGATTGATTGATTGATTGATTGATTGATTGATTGATTGATTGATTGATTGATTGATTGATTGATTGATTGATTGATTGATTGATTGATTGATTGATTGATTGATTGATTGATTGATTGATTGATTGATTGATTGATTGATTGATTGATTGATTGATTGATTGATTGATTGATTGATTGATTGATTGATTGATTGATTGATTGATTGATTGATTGATTGATTGATTGATTGATTGATTGATTGATTGATTGATTGATTGATTGATTGATTGATTGATTGATTGATTGATTGATTGATTGATTGATTGATTGATTGATTGATTGATTGATTCAGTCCCTGAATATCCTACAAAGCGCCTCTGTATTATGCCAAGCACAGGCGTCAAATAAATCAGTGACACTGTAAGAGAACGTGTACCTAGACATTGGTAAACAGACCGACAAACGGAATGTCATTACTCACTTCCACCGAACAATAGGTAGTCTTGTTTCGAAGCAGAATCATCTTCATTAGACTTCGTTGTCAGGGGTTCTCCATCATCAGCCTTCAAAGGACATTCTGTCCTGAGGTTTTTTACCGTCCGGGGTTTGGGGGAAGGCTGTCTGTCCAATGCGGCTTGAGGACCAAAAAACACATTCAGATTTGATTGAATGGTAGCGGGATTGTCCACCAAGGTATGGTTTTGTGAAGGTATTTCGGCCTATTTCGATTCGTTGATAAAAAAAAGATCAAAATCATTATGCACGTTGAAAAAGGTTACAAATCTAAAACACGTGCCTATGAGTTATCCAGAAAACGTGACGTGATCAACAGAACTGAACATTTTGAATAAATCTTGGAAATATACAAAAAATCTGTTGGAAAATGCTAGAACGTCAAGGTAATAAGTAACGTAATAAATGAATAAATCAGAAAAAGAAATCAATCACTATCTTTTGGATGATAAGCCTGTTAAATTTGAAACCTCCTCAAATCGTACACAATGAAACCCGGGGTTAGAAATCTGGCAAGAAGAAACTTTGAGGATGTTTGCTGCTGCTGACGGGAATCCTCAGAATTTGGCTGCGTTTTTTCATGTTTTATGCGCGAAGGTTTCTTGGAGCCCAGCTTTACGTATCGGAATCTAATATGGTTTAAATGAACTACCGTGTAAGACACATGACCCCGGCCGGCATAGCTATTAGGGGCTTGCTATTTGGGTGATTGGATTGGCCGGAAAATGGCCTAGGCGAACACTAAATATTCTGCGGTATGGAAAATAGCTATATGTTGAGAAAAATGCAACTCCTATCTTATCATGTGACACGACCTGCTATTGGGGGCAACCATCAACCAATCAGATGCACTGCAAAGAACATATTTCAAGGAAGTCGACTCAGTCAAAAGGAACACAAAAAGGTAGTTCAGCTTTGATGTTACGGTTAATTACAAATCGATCTTTAGGTGTAAACCAAGATTTTTGGCAAATTTCTTATCCATTATTCTGACCAATGCTTATTTTTCCCCTAACCCTATCAACTCACATGGTAAGTTTTCGTGAACTGATATCAGTGACCCAAACAAATGCGACTCCCAGGAGCCTGACAACTTAACCCTACTCAAAGCTGTATGTCTCGTATCTCATTGGCCCGTTGGACACCTGCTTTGGGGTGTTTCGGGTGCGTTTTCGATTCATCCTTCCCTGGTCTGTGCTGCGTTGTGGTTTGTCTTCCTTCGATTTGGTTGGTTGTGGTGATGAATTCTATTTCTGGTAGTTTCCTTACTTCAGATTGATTGGCCGCCTGTACTTCCGCGCATGATGTAGGTCTATTCATCTCGTGTTGACCGATTTAGTTGCAGCTGGATGGTCAATTTTTTGAGTTGATCTTTATCCTTCTCACGTTTGTCTGATGGATTATGGTCCGGGAAAGGGGTTTTCTCCTTTCCATTTTTGTCGCGGTTGTTTTTTTAGTTTTAGTCCGTCTTTGCGTTCGGAAAAATTTTGTTTCCAGTGGTCGATAGACTGGATCGATCGGTTGATGGCTTTTCTCAGTGGAGTGCCGTGCTTCCATAAATTCACATTCTTTCGTTTTTATCGCTTGAGCCAATATTTCAACGGTACTCCAGTCGAATTTCTGGCCATCGTGACCTCCGTGCCCGGAGATCAAGATGGATAGACGAGCGCACTTCACAAGGGTTATATTTTGTTCGCAAGTTTAATCAAATTAAGGGGCTTCACAGCTGTTTTTGTGTATTTGCAGACGAAGTGATATATACGACAACTTATGTGAAGGTTTTCAGTCTGACTACACCAGACACTGCGTGGTTCAAAATTCAATCCATATTGACGTACAGGGACAGTCATTTTGTTCTTCTTTACGGGCTTGCCAGTAACTCGTGACTGTCATAAGTTGCATCAAGGAAAGACTTCTGTTTTCAGTTTTTACTTCCCTAATGCATTCATGGGCATTCCGTGTTTCTTAGTTACGCAAAATGAAGTTGGGAGATAGGAGTGACATTAAGTAGAACAGGGTGTTACTCATAAGTAGTACAAACCACCAGATTCGATGGTTTCGTGGGAATTCAACAGGTGGTCTTTGTTTGGGGCTGGTGTAATCGATCCTTCAGTAGTAGACGGAAACTCTGTGAGGTAACCCCTGAATACCGACCGACTACCTTAGCGTATAGATACCACCCACACTTTGAGGCCCACTCCAGACACCTGATGTGGTTCACGATGAAAAACGGAACTCGGAACTCTAGCAAACGATCTGTGTTTCGTATTTAGAGTGTGTGATGAATTTATATATTGTAATCAACGGTATTTACATCTTCCACGGGCGGTGTGTCACAAGTCCACGGCCTATTCAATCCAAGCAACATTCAGAGCAATAGTTTCACGATTATCTCACCCCATTTTTCGGCCATTTTCCTTGTGAATTCTGTTGCACATTCACCGTTTTCCATTTATCCCAGCCGTCTAGTAGCAGGGCATGACGATTACCAATTCCCGCATCATCACCGGAACCAAATGGGAATTTCCGTTGGCCCTCCCGGGTCGTGGCAGCCCGGCGCAATCTGGTTCCCTTGACCACCGGGGAGATACATTGTTTCTCATCTCCCGAATGAGAATGTCCTTGATTTGAGGTTTGAGCTGGGGCAACATATGGACGAGATGGTCCGGTTTCTGAGAGAAACTCATAGTCATCGCTGGAGTAGGTTGCAGCTTCCATGACAAACACTCGTCCGACAGATTTGGGGGTGGGAAATTCGAGAATTTTCTGTGTCGGATCGTTAGAGCTAGAAAGGAAGGGAATAAGGAGAGAGAATGACATTTCAGAATTCCTTTTTCTGAATCAGGTACTATTATCACAACAAGTGCCTTAATAACTCGATATTTGTAATAGGCTTTTGACTAAAGCTTGAGGAAGAGAACCATTGGTTCATCGGCTCCCGAGTTCCTTAAGACACCTATTCGAGACTCGGATACGCAAGTCAGCCTTGGTCATCCATAACTCATCAAAGTTCGTTAATCAGCTTGTCTTCTAGTGTGTCACAGACAGACAAAACGGAAGGATCTCAATGGTAAACGGCTGTGCTGGAGTTGCACTTATTACTCGCAAGTAGTCGCAGGATTTGTAGCATTTTCGCTAATATTACTGTCGTCTGACCTGGCGAATTGCTATGAAATGCTGACAGTAAAAATTGAAAGCGCTCTTTTACAAAAAATTAGTAGTGCATGCTTGTGACGGTGGCGGCATGGGGATTTTGGAGACTGGTCACAAGAGCTGAGTGCGTTACCACTAACTACTCCACCGGTACGGAACGGATGAAGGGAATATCAGCTTTGAAGTAACGAATATGTCCAAGCTTGAGCGAGTACCACTGAATGGACAGTTCAAGCGCTTCTTAATTTAAGGGGAAGTTTTGAACTCACGAAACTCTGTGGCTATCAATTATGGCATCCTACGTGTTTTCTCCCAATGTTGGAGTTTATTACCAGTTGTTACACTAGCGAGACAATATCCCGTAGGACGGGATGATAGAGTAAACGAGTGCTGGCGTACCATCCATTGGTTGAATGACTATCGAACACTCATAAACAAAGAACGAACAGTATAGGTTTATACTACTGATGAGAGGAAGAAGGCCTTCGCTGCGGAGTCATTTATTAGGAAATGCCAACTGAACAGTTACAGACTATTGAACAGGGGAGCAAAACTTTCATATGCATCTTGTTTACGAAACTAAATATCCATCTTCTCCTTGAACGCGTCTTCCTGAAGTTTCCTGGGTATTCATTGACTGTTACTCAATTGAAAGCAAATGCCACAAAGCGACTTCACAAATTCTGCAATAGATCTCACTTTTCAAGAGACGCAAAGCGGATTTACGAGAGAACGTACTACTCGCATGCTTTCCCATCAGTAGTATCACCGTTACACTGATAGGTGGGGAAAGTTGTGGCCAATTTTGAACTCTGAAATCAGGATTTCTTAGTAAAACACCAATAAATTTCTCCTGTACGCAAAACACTCCTAGACGGCTACTTTATCACCAGAGAAACGTGTTTATTGAACAAATAACTTCTACACTTACAACTATCGTTTTCTGTTGGCCCTTTTACAGGTTCACCAATCTATTGGTGGTTACTGTGTAAACAATATCCGATTGAAAAAATGCTTCGATGCAAGTCTGGATCGAAAACGTCAGTGTTCATCTGAAAAACAGTTTGAGTACCTAACCGACGTTTGTTTGTTACTTTTTTCGGTCCATTATCAAAACAGCCATGACTCTCAAGCGTGTTAAAGGCGGAGTGTCTCATTAGCAGTTCGATGTACTCTACTGAGGAAACTATGTCAAACTAAGTCGATTCGTCGGCCATACAGCATGTACTTTAGTCCAAGATGCTCGTCTGATTCGCTGGATGTAGAATGGGTGCACACGAGGCGTGTTCTGGAGCTCCAGTTACATTCATTTGGAATGGAACGGCCAGTGCAACAGCGGGTAAAAAAGATATACAGTCCTTCGTTTGCGGGACAAGTGTTCCACCCAATGAGTTGCTAAAACTCCACATTTCAATGTGAATTCCATTGTAAATGGAGAATAAATGGTTGGACGGGTCGATAAATATTCACCCAATAATCTAAGTATATCTACGACTAACGCGAAGGTCACAATCGTACCCGTAGTTTCCGTTGATTCCGCACAGATAGACCTCCAAATGGAAAAAATTCACGCGAAGGGGGACTAATTGACGAACCAAACGTCAAATCAGTTGTCGCCCGTTCAACACTGTCGCCAGCACACCGATATGAAGTAAACTCGTTATAAAACCAAGAAGTGCGAATGTGACACATTGATTCAATGTGTAGTAAACAAGTAATTAAAATCTTTAAAAATTCACGTGACCTTGTGTAGTGGTTACAGATGGACTGGTGGCGTCACTTTTCCTGTCATTTCAGTGTGGTACACACATCTTCGCTCTTGTCAGTGCAGTAACTGACAGTCACATGATTAAAAATGGCTCCAGGTTTCGTAAATCTTTCGGAAAATCAAGGCGGCCGTTCAAGTTGGGCACTCAGTAATTTGGCCTTCAACTTATTGACACAATCCTACACCATATCAGTCGTATCCATCATGGATTCCCTGGAAGCTGAGGAGTGTTCAACCTTTGGTTTGTTCAGCTTCATACAAGCTTCGTACAATCCATATTCGTCCTATTTTTCCGGCACAGTCGTTGACAAGAGAGGATGATGTATTGACCGGTTGTGTTATCCAGCAGAACTGTGGATTGCTCATCGACGGAACGCCCGCAATCATCGAAGTCTATCTATCACCTGACCAGCCCACACAGCTCTTGGTCATACAGCTTGGCTGCCAGATTTCTCATCACTGAGGTAGTCATGTCGCGTGCTTCACCTGTCAGATGGTCAGGTCTGCTTTGCCAGCAGCACACTCGGGATGTTGCAAAAGGTACATGTGACAAGCGATTATATGCAAGTTGGAAGGAATAAGTAGTGTGATTCTTGCATATTGGGGGGAACGATAAACACAATATGGACATTACCAACCATATGCTTGTTGTTGGGCCACCCTGCGGTTCGGGAAATTTCTGCATCTCTGATGTGAATATGCTACACTCAGTGAGCTTAGCTGAACGAAAGCGAAAAGTTCTCATTGGTGAAGTGGTGTTGCTGAACTGCTTCCTGTCAACTTTTCATTCTTTTTTCCCCACCATGCATGTAAGCGCACAGTAAGTCACCTAGGTGAC